GTTCCCTACTATTATGGTTCTGCAGTCTAGCTCTCCCTTTAAATCTATTAACTATTGAATTATATGCTTAGGTGCGCAGATGCCTTGTGTATTTGCTTTTATAATTCTTATATACTCCTAATGAATAAATGCTTTTATTATAAGGATCTTCTTTGTCTTATTTAAGTATTTTTTACTTAAAGTTTATTTTATGTGATATCAGTATAGGTACCTCTGCTCTCTTTTGATATGTTTGCATAGAATATCTTTTTTCGTCCCTTTGCTTTCCACCTATTCATACATTTAAGGTTAAATGAATCTCTTGTAAGCAGCATAGACACAGATCTTATTTGTTTATCCATTCAGCCATTCCATTTCTTTTGATTAAAGATTATAATATATTTATATTCAAGGTAAGCATTGACATGTAAGAACTTACACTGCCCTTTTGATCATTGTTTTCTGGCTGTTATGTAGATTTTATCCCCTTTCTTTCTCTCTTGTTTTCTCCCTTTATTATTAGACAATTTTATGCAGTGGTATGCTTTGAATTTTAGTTTTATGCTAATATTTTCTTTATCTACTACAGGTTTTTGGTTTTGGTTACCATGAGGCTTACACAAAACATCTTATAGTTATAGCAGGCTATGTCAAGCTGACAATAACCTAACTTCAATAGCATTGAAAAATTCTACACTCTTCTCCCAGCATTTTGTGGGTTTGATGTCACAGTTTACATCTTTTAATATTGTGTACCCCTCAAAACAGGGGTCCCCACTCCTGGGCTGCCATCTGGTACCAGTCTGTGGCCTTTTAGAAACCAGGCTGCACAGCAGAAGGTGAGCAATGGCTGACAAAGCATTACCACCTGAGCTTTGCCTTCTGTCAGGTCAGCAGTGGCATAAGATTCTCATAGGAGTGTGAACTGCACCTGCGAGGGATCTAGGTTGCATGCTCCTTATGAGAATCTAACTAATGCCTGATAATCTGAGGTGGAATAATTCCAAAACCATTCCCTACCCCTCAACCCCCAGTCCATGGAAAAATTGTCTTCCATGAAACTGGTCCCTGGTGCCAAAAATGTTGGGGACCACTGCCTTAACAAATCATTGTAGCTACTATTATTTCAAAGAGTTTTGTCCTAAAATCTTCATACTAAAGATATAAGGGATTTACACATTACCATTATAGTATTAGAGTATTCTGAATTTCAGGATGTCCTTAAAACTATCAGGGAGATTTTTATTTTCACATATTATTATGCTACCAATGAGTATTATTTTCTTTGAACTAAAAGAATGTTCTTTAGCATTTCTTTTCTTTTCTCTTTCTTTCTTTCTTTTTTTTTTTTTTTAAAGATCGAGTCTCACTGTTATTGCCCAGGCTGGAGTGCAGAGGCATGATCCTGGCTCACTGCAATCTCCGTCTCCTGAGTTCAAGCAATTCTCCTGCCTCAGCCTCCAGAGTAGCTGAGATTACAGGCACCTGCCACCATGCCTGGCTAATTTTTGTACTTTTAGTAGAGAGGGTGATTCACCATGTTGGCCAGCCTGATCTCAAACTCCTGACCTCACAATCTCCACACCTCAGCCTCGTTGAAGTGCTGGGATTACAGGTATGAGCCACCACGCCCAGCCAGTATTTCTTTTAAAGCAGGTCTAGTGGTGATGAACTTCCACAGTTTAATCTGCCTGGGAAAATTCTTATTTGTCCTTCATTCCTGAAGGACAGATTTGTTGTTTATAGTATTTTTGGTTGCCAATTAAAAAAAAAATTTTCAGTGTATTTAATATATCATTCAGCTTTGTCCTGGTTTTTAAGGTCTCTGCTGAGATATTAGAGGATAATCTTATAATGGTTCTCTTGTATGTGACAAGTTGATTTTTTCTTGCTACTTTCAAAAATTATCTTTGCCTTTGGCAGTTGAAAATTGTATTATAATGCATTGGGTAAAGATCACTGTATATTTAATCTATTTAGGGTTATTTGGGCTTCCTGAATCTATATGTTAATTTCTAGCTCCAGATTTGAAGAATTTTCTGCCATTATTTACTTAAAGGTGTTTTGTCTTTTCCTCTTTTGTATTCCTTCTGAGAACATTCATTGGTTTGCTGGATAATTTTTTGTAAATTCTGTAGGATTTCTTTACTCTTTTTGTGCTTTTTGTTTTGTTTATCTCACAGGGTAATTTCAAATGACCTGTTCTTAATCTCACTGATCCCTTCATCTGGTTAATCAAGTCTACTGGTGAAGAAATTTTTCAGTTAGTCATTGTGTCTTTAGCTCCAGAATTTGTGTTGTTCTTTTTTATGGTTTCTCTCTTTTTTGATCTTATAATTTTATTTGTGTGTGCTTTTACTGATTTTATTTATATGTATTTTGATATTCTCTTATAGTGCACTGAGCGTTTAAATATAACTACTTTGAATTTTTTTTGTCAGATATTTGTAAATCTCCACTTTTTTTAGGGTCAGTTACTGGTGCTTTATTTTTATGATAGTGTCATGTTTCCCTGATTGTTTGCAATTCTTATGGCCTTGTGTTGGTGACTGTGCATTTTAAGTAGGCACTTGTTCCAATAAATATAGACTGACTTTGACAGGAAAAGCCCTTCACCAACCATTCTGTCCAGAATTCTGGGCATGGATCTGATGCCCAGAATTAGTCCATGATAAGCTTGATGCTGGAGTTCTTGGGCAGGCTCACGTGGTGCTTGGTTCTGTGGGGTTGGGCCTGCAGCCTGGGCTCACCAGGATTGACCTGTTGATTGGGTCTACAATGATGGTTCTATAGCCTTCTTCCATGTGGTTGGGCCTGAAGCCTGAATCAACTGGGCAAGTCTGAATCCTGAGTCCACAGAGGCTGAGTTGGCACTGAGGAAGTCCTAAATCTGTGTCTGCAGTGGCCATCCAGGTGCTGGGATGGGAGTGGTGCCTGCGATGGAACTGGAGCCTGAGCCTATAGATTCTAGCCTGGCCCTGGAGAAAGCCTGGAGCCTGATTCCACATCTATAGGCCTGGGTCCTTGGTTTTCAGAGGCTATCCTGAAGACTGAGTCCACAAGTGGTTCTTGAGATTTGGTCCACAGGGAAAGCTTGTTCAGGAGTCTACTGGTATGGTTCTGGACCCAGGATACACTGAAACATGTCTAGATCTTGGGTTCACTGAGCCTGGCACTCTGGGGACAAGCCTGGGTCCTGGGGCAGTGTGATGCAGGGGAGTCCTAGAACCTGGATTTGCAAGTTCTCGTCTGGAGCATAGGTCTATAGAAGCCAGTCTGGAGGTTAGATGTGTGCATGTTGGCCTGGAGGCTAGATTCATGAGGACTGGCTTGGAGCCTGGGGCACAGGGCCTGGTTCAGATCTGGTGTCATCAACTCTTCAGGCTGACTATGGGTCCTGGGACTGTGGGGGCTGGCCTGGAACCTGGGCGTGCAGGGGAAATTCTAGAACCTGGGTTTGCAGAGCCTGGACTGGCAGTGGAAACTTTTAAGATAGGCCTGATCTTTGGGTTTACTGGAGCACAGGGTCACAGGGGATGGTCTTGAGTATATGCAGGCTTGTATATCTTCTGGTGCTGACCTGAAGTCAAGGGTTGCAGTAACTAGAGACTGACTCTGAGGGGCCAGCCTGGAGCCTTTACCTGTCAGAGCTGACCTAGTGCTGGGTTAGCCTACAACCTGGGACCACAATAGCTGTCTTAGTGTTGGGGTGGGGCTGTAGCCTTGGACCATGGTGCCAGCCTGAAAGCTGGGGTCCTGTGGGACCGCCTGGCACTGGTTTTACTATGGCAGGTGCAGTGTTGAGATCTGAGGCAAAGTTTAATACTCACTCACCTTCCTTCACGAAGAGGATATTTCTGTCCACATTGTACAGCCTGGAGTGGGAGGAAGGATGGTGTGGGTCATATAAAACTCTCCTTACTACTCTCTTCAATGTTCTTTTCTTATTTCTGTGCTACCCAAGTGTTGAAATCTATCACTTGGTCTTACTAGCTCCCGTGAGGATATTTTATGTTTGCGTAGTTGTTCAAACTGAGGCATTTGTGAAGGGATGAACTTTTTTGAAAGTTTCTATTCTGCCAACTTGCTGGTATCACTCCAGGGATTTTTACTGCAATAAACATTGTGAAAATATCCTATGTAATTGAGCATGAAAAGTGGGCAATTTAATTCCTATGTTCCTGAGGTTTTCTGCCTACCTAGCCTGGTTCAGAAGTAAGCAATCGGTTAACACTCTGTAAGTAAGTCCAAAGCCCTCTCACTCCCTTCCTGCCTCTCTCATGCACCTGCACATCCCACACTGGACAATCTCTCCCCTCTCGGAGAAAGTAGCTTGGTCTTGGTTTCCTTCTTGAACAAATCCTATACCTTTAATCTTGTGTAACTTCCATTTTGCTTAATGCTGCTCCTTTATGTTTCTTATGTTGTTATCCAGGTTCATGCACCCCTGGGGATTAATGAGAATGCAGACTTATTTTCCAAAGGTGGGGAGGCCCTGAGGTTCAACATTTTAAAGAGATTTTCCAAAGATGCTGCTGCCGTCTCACATGTCAGGACCATTTTATGAGGATGAGCCTAGAAGACTTTCCTTCACCCATCAAACTGCCAAGGACCAGGAAAAGCATGTGAGCCACGCTTCAAGAGCAGAGGCCACAAGACCCAGGGAGCCCGAGGCCCTGTCTGAGCTCATTCATGCACATGAGGTATCTGAGAGGAGATAGTCACTGTACCTCTGGCCACATAGGTTATTGGCCCTGAGCCCTGAGACAGCAGCTCAGATGCACCACTTGTGCCACCTGGAGCTGGCTCGGAAATCCATCTACCCAGATCCTCCCTGTCTGCCCTGATGAGAGTAACTCCATCAAACACTCAACCCCTTTCACCCACAACTACAGCACACAAAGCTTCCGAACATGCTGATGTTTAATGATCTGTACCACATGATTAAATGGCTCAAGGTGTGTGGATTTTCTAAAATGCTGGTCTGAGATCCCAAATGCTTGCAAAACAGGATAACAAACAAGTACAGAGCTGGTCCGTCACTGGAGAGTCGTCAGGAGAGAAGTGCTGATGACCACAGAATGTGGGAGCAGTACACACCCAGGCCTGGGAGTGGCTTTCCCTCAGTGAAATCCTTCCAGGCAGGTCTTGTTCAGGAGGCCGAAGTGTGTCCTCCAGGGCCTGGTGCTGATGGTGAAGAAGTAGGTGAAAGTCTGAGAGAAGCAGCACAGGAAGGGACAGTGGGTCAGGGAGGCTCAGGAAACTCACGGCTCAAGCTCTCAACAATGGCTTCCTCTCCACATGGTCCTTTCCCAGGTCAAGCAGTGGGAAGATGGAGGCCGTGGCCATCAAGTGCTGCCCCCAAGCCTGAGTCCTGGGCTGTTCTGGAGGTTTGAGCTGAACTGCAGCTCTCTTCTGACCCAGGGGCACCCACGCCATGTTCCCTCCCTCCAGCAGTGGCTTTCAGGGGAACCCCAGGCTATCCTGGTGTAATCCCTGGACCCAAGAGCGCAGGAGAATGCATTGTCTCAGTGGAAGCAGTTCCCAGATTTCAGCGATTAGCTACTTGTTTGTTAATCTTATAATTCAGGGGTTGATTAAGCACAGGAAGAGTTTCCACAGAGCCAGGCTTTACTTGAAGCTTGTTCCCTAGAGCAGGTGCTGCAGCTTAGAAGGGCCCTGGACAGGGCCTGGAAGGGAGAGTAGAGGGGCTCCTTCTCAGCCTCCACCTCTTTTGAGTCTAGGGTGGTGTAGGGGAACCCTGAGGTGAGAACTGCATCCACAGACAGAGGTGATGTCGGATCCCAGGTTCATCCAGAAGGCAGGGGAGGAGGTCCAGAGAGGGGACAGCTTCTACTCAGGCCCAGGAGCCTGGGACCCCTGGGGGAAAGAGCAGTCTGAAGCCCATGTGCCCTGGGTGCAGGCAGCTTCAGTGGCATGACAGGGCAGAGTCGGGAAACTCAGACTGGCCAGGAGCCTGCAAGGGGACCCCTGGCTGCCTGCCCTCTGCGCTCCTCACAAAGTCACAAGCAGGGTGGCCTGGTGGAGGCCACTGCGGGCTCACTCCTCTAAGTCTCTTTGTCAGCTGCACCTGTGCCCACACCACACCCCGTGCAGCACCCACAGCTCTGGACATGAGGGAAGCTGGTGTCCTGTCTTACTGTCTTACATCGTTCAGCTCTGGGCTTTCTTGGAAAGGGCAGTTGTCAATGTCCTCTTCAAATTTCCCACACCTAGTTCTCCCCAGCAGGAGCTCCATTGAGAATATGGTCTTGGACTCCACCTAAAGTACACGGAGAGATTAATGTGAACACGCCCCGCTTGCTGCCTCTAAGTAGCTGCTGGTGTAGGAGAATTCCCAACACTCTTCTCCATTAGGGAGCTCACCCATGGGCCTGGCATCAGGAGATCTTTAGATTGGGGAGTTAAGAACAAAAAGCAGATGGGCATGGTAGGGCAGACACAGGCTGAGTCATAACCCACAAATGTATCCTCATTTCCAGTTGTGCTTCCCACTCTCCCATGACGAGACCCCAGCTTCACTCTCGGCCAGTGTCTGAACCTGCAGTTGCATTTTCAGAGGATGGCCCCATGTGCCTGGGGGGGTGTTGGCTATCCAAGAGTTTTCAGGGTAACCTCAGCCCTGAGGGCCAGAGGGAGCCTCATCCACAGCTTGTTGTCAAATCTTCCATCTGACCTCCAATAAAAAAAAATGCAAGAATGCCACCCAGCACTCCCACTACACATAGGCACACACCCTGGGGACAATGGCTTTAAGAAACACCATCTAGGGCTGGATATGGTGGCTCAAGCCAGTAATCCTAGCACTTTGGGAGGCCAAAGCAGGCTGACCATGAAGTCAGGAGTACAAGACCAGCCTGGCCAGCAGAGTGAAACCCTGTCTCTACTAAAAATATAAAAAATTAGCCAAGCATGTGGCAGGCACCTATAATTCCGGCTACTCCGGAGGCTGAGGCAGGAGAATTGAATCTGAGAGGTGGAGGTTGCAGTGAGTAGAGATCATACCACTGCACTCCAGCCTGGATGACAGTGCGAGACATCATCTCAAAAACAAAACAAAACAAATAGAAGCCCTCCACTTGGAGACGATTTTCATTGTCCATGCCTGCAGTGCAGATGAAGAGTGTGTTCCTGATTGCATTCTGTAGTGACTCCATTAGAATGAGAACATTTAGCACTAAGACCCGGTCTGAAGAAGAGTGTAAAACAGCCTTCAGTTTATTAAGCACAGACACAACAAGGTGCGCAGAGAAGGTAGAAATCAGCAAAGAGGAACTGACCACCCAGAGGTCTTTTGGGATTGATGGGGGTTTGTTACTGCTCCTCAACCCTTACTGTTCTCTTTTTTAATTTTTATTTTTATAATTACCTTTTTTTAAATCACATTTCTGGGAAATATTTCTTAATTACTCTCTATTGACATTTTCTGTTTAGCCCTTTTCTTTATTCTGTATCTTTGTTTTCTTGGTAGTCCTCATTTTGAAGTCATTATTCAGCCAAATAATGTCATAAAAAGACGCAGATTAAACAATACGTTTTGCATGAGAGTCGATTAGGATCAATTTTTTTAAAAATTCCTAACTTAGATGTTTTCAAAATCAAAAATTAACAAAGTTACCTTGTATTATCTCAGGTATGGACTATAACTAGTGAACAATAATCTTCAATAAGAACCCCTGTCCCCACCCCACTCCCATTTCTCCCTTAGCAGCAGATGCCAGGGCAAGAGGGGACATGGTCACCAACCTGCTCCTTCCAGGAATTCAAGATGTGCACCAGTCTGTAGGCATAGTGGTCCTTGCTCTGTTGGTTGAAGGTGTGTATGGCAAATTCCACTGTGGCAGGGAGGTAACGAGCCATGACATTGGATTCGTCACAGTCCCTTTGCTCATGGAAATGCCAGGCATGGGTCAGCAGGAGCTGAAAGTCTAAGAGAAGCAGCAGCAGCGCCCAGGGCAGAGCCCCCCTCTGCAGCAGGCCTGGCATGGTGCTCACGGCAGCCACCCCTGCCTTTGCTCTTCCCAGCCCCTGTGTGCACAGGAGTTAGCTGGACCCAGGCGCAGCCCTCAATCTCATCCGCTCAGGCACAGACTCCTCCTACTGGTCCTCAGCTCTGCCAGGACACCCTGTCCCTTCCCACACATTGCCTCGCCTCCTCCAGCCAAGGCAGTTTAAGTTATTTCCACCATACAGCTTATGGCTGGCCCTGTATATCAGAGTGAATTTTAAATCATGAAATATTTACAGAAGGAAAAAGAAGAAGCACACAGATTGTGTGGAAATCCATAAGAGGAAGTAAAGAGCTTGCCTTTTACCAGGTGGGAGGGTGAGCATCACAAGGACACTGAGCCCTGGTCCCTCGGTTTCCTTGTGAGGCCTGAGCCTTGGGAGCTCATCTGCTGGCCCCTGGCTTTGTGTCATCTGTAGCCCCTACAGGTGAGCTTCTCAGGTCACCAACTGCACCAAAGCTTTGCTCTTGCACTGTCCTCCCAAAAGATTCAAGAAGCAGGCTGAGTGGTCAGGTGCCAAACTGAGTCAGCATGTGACACCGAGTAGCTGCAAACTTGGCCCCAAGGAGAAGACAGCTCTGTGAGACAAACTTGTCTCACCCCACACTGGTGACAGGCAGTTCTACAGGACAGGAAGGACAGAATCCTGGATTAAAGGGAGGCAGCTCTGCATGTGGAGTCACTCATCTGCCTTCCTTCTGCCCTATTCTCTCTAGGGCAGTGCAAGGCACAGGCAGGAGAGGAGCTACCCTCTGCCACTAGATATCAAAGCTGCTTCAACAGATTCTGGGTGTCCTCAGGTGCCTGGTGTCCTTGGATGATTCTGTGCCTTCCCCTCCCACAGCAAACTGAGATAAGACCCGGGGAAATCTTGACTCTCACTCTCTCCTCCTTCACCCCCCAAAAAAAAGGATCTCCACTGTTCAGAAAAATAACTAAGATATCAGTTTATTCTTTTGTTGTCTAATATCTCAACAGTTGTACTCTGTGAACCAAGGGAAAAAATGCTAAGAAAAAAAATGGCAACTTTTATCAACCATTTTGACCTGGAAGGGACAATGAATATTGTGAGAAAAGGGCAGGAAAGACAGAGACCCAAGTCCTGAGGCCCCAGCCCGGTCATGCCCAGCCCAGCCCTGCATGCGTTTCTAAGCCTTGTCGGCCCTGGTTCCATCTGAGCCAGAGCCAAACTTTCACCTCCCAACATCTGCAGCCCCACCACAGACACTTAACGTCTTGTGACTAGAACACCATTCTAGATCAAATGTTTAAACACTTGCCCGGGAGAGTACATGTTTCTGTCTCAATGAGATAGAGTTTGGGCTATTCTTCTGACCCTTGATCATTTTGGTCTCCATCTGACTATCCTTCTTGGTCTTCTAGAGTGAGACATTTTGCCAACACTTAGGTGATGTTAGGTGGTTACTTTTTTTTTTTTTGAGATGGAGTCTCGCTCTGTCGCCAGGCTGGAATGCAGTGGCGCGTGATCTCAGCTCGCTGCCACCTCCACCTCCCAGGCTCAAGCAATTCTCCTGCCTCAGCCACCTGAGTAGCTGGGACTACAGGAACACGCCACCATGCCCAGCTAATTTTTGTATTTTTAGTAGAGACGGGGTTTCACGATGTTGGCCAGGATGGGCTCGATCTCTTGACCTCGTCATCCGCCCTCCTCGGCCTCCCAAAGTGCTGGGATTACAGGCGTGAGCCACCGCACCTGGCCAGGTGGTTACATTTAAATCAATTTCCTGGCAATAACTAATCTGAAGGAGGAAATGATAATATTGTGCTGCTATAAGAATGGACATTAAATAGTGCAGGACTGGTGAAGTATGAAAAAGTGAGGCCGGGGAGTTTGGCTGAGAAGACTATGGCAGTGCAATATGGGCAAGAACCTAGCCTTGTTGCCAGATAGCAGAATGGAGCGTCCAGTCCCAAGTCAGCAAGACTGATTCTACAAGACCTGCTCTGACCGTGTCCCACACCTGTTCCCAGGTCACAGCAGGGCCAGCCCCAGGCAGAGTGTCACTGCATCTGTCCATACTAGCACGGCACTGGCCAGGTCAAGAAAGCTGCAGGTGAAGAGCCCTGCTGCCTGATCCAATACCAGGTCCCGAGTGTCTGCTTACAGGAGACCCCACCCACCAGGCATGGAAGAAAGCAGCTAGTATGTGGGGAGCTGCTGTGCAGGAGCCATGCGCCACCTGCATCTTGATCCTCTGCCCCAACTCCAGGAAGTGGGTAACACAGAGTGGCCGAAACCTGTGTCCTGATTAGCAATGATCACAGGTGAAATCTGTCACTGTTGCATTGTTTCATGTCTTTTTGTTTTTGCTTTTTTCAGATTTTGTTTTGTTTTGTTTGAGACAAGAGTCTCACTCTGTTACCTAGGCTTGAGTGCAGTGGCGTGATCTTGGCTCTTTGCTGCAACCGCCACCTTCTGGGCTCAAGAGATTCTCCTGCCTCAGCGTCCTAAATAGCTGAGATCACAGGCATGCCCCACCAGGCTCAGCTAATTTTATATTTTTAGTAGAGAAGGAGTTTTGCCATGTTGGCCAAGCTGGTCTCAAACTCCTGGCCTCAAGTGATCCTCCCACCTCAGTATCCTAAAGTGCTGGTATTACAGGCGTGAGCCACCTGTCTGGACCCTATTGGGTTGTTGAAATGTCATTTGTCTTCTGATCAAGCCTAGCTGACTCATTCTCCTCATATTTATTTACTCATGGCAAACAAACAGCTCAGCCACACAACTATTTGCAAAATTATTTGTGAGATCTACTGCATTCTGAAAGATTTTCACTTGAGAAAGATTTTCAATCAAGCACAACTCACAAGTCAAGGGATCCATGACACAAGATTCGTACTCTCCTTTTCACTTGGCAAAGTCTTGCTTATAATTGTGAGGCAGAAGCCAGCACTGCAGAATTCCTTCCCACTGCATGAGTTAGACAGAAATGAAAACTTCTCGTCGGTTCCCTAAAAACTGAGATTGGGAAATGAAATAATGACAACAAAAATAGTGGTGCAAATTGACACAGTTATAGCTCATAGATAGATCTTTGGTCTGTTCAAAAACAAGAGACAGGTCAAGAAAGTCCAGAGGTTACCCTGAACTTGCATCTCTGCCTGACTTTCAACTTCAGCTCAAGCAAGAAGCCGTGGCCAGGACCAAGGTGTGAGTGGCCTAAGCATTGAAGGTGTGCCCAATACATGCACCCCGTGAGCTAGTTTTGGAAGATTGTCATTGCTGTTACAATTGTTTGGTGACTTTGACCACATGTGACAAGTAACACACTCTGCACATAGTTCAGAAAAGTCACTAAACAAAGACACAATTACAATCCACAGAAAACAGCAGTAAATCTTAAGGAGAAAGCAGACTCAGACTCCTAGAGTTACCGCAATTTAGCATTTAAATGCCCAGTTTTCCAAAAAAATTATAAGGCATACAAAGGGACATGAAAGTATGTCCCATTTAGTCTTTGTGGCGCAGTGGCTTTCAGCTTGATGTGATCCTGTTTGTTTATTTTTGTTTTTGTTGCCTGTGCTTTTGAATTCCTTACCCAAAAAGTCTTTGCCCACACCAGTATCCTGAAATGTTTTTCCAATGATTTCTTTCGGAAGTTTCACAGTTCCAGGTCTTAAATTTAAGCATTTAATCATTTTTTTTTTTAAATATAGTGAGATGTGGGGGTCTAACTTCACTTTTCTTGTAGTTTTGATTTGCATTTCTCTGATAATTAGAAATATTGAGCATTTTTTCATGTGTTTTTTGGCCATTTGTATATCTTCTTTTGAGACTTGTCTATTCATGTCTTTTGACCACTTTTTGATGGGGTTATTTGCTTTTCTCTTGCTGATTTGTTTGAGTTCCTTGTGGATTCTGGATATTAGTCCTTTATCAGATGCATAGTTTGGGAATACTTTCTCCCAGTTTGTGGGATTTCTGTTTACTCTGCTAATTATTTCTTTTGCTGGGCAGAAGCTTGTTAGTTTAATTTAGTTTAGTTAGGTCCCATCTATTTATTTTTATTGCATTTGCTCTTGAGTTCTTGGTCATGAACTCTTTGCCTAAACCAATGTCTAGAAGAATTTTTCCAGTGTTATCTTCTAGAATTTTTAGGGTTTCAAGTCTTAAATTTAAGTCTTTGATCTATCTAGAGTTGATTTTTGTATAAGGTGAGAGACCAGGATCCTGTTTCATTCTCTACGTGTGGCTTGCCAATTATCCCAGCACCACTTCCTGAATAAGGTGTACTCTCTCTACTTTATACAGATTTTGTATGCTTTGTAGATGAGTTGGCTGTAAGTATTTGGCTTTATTTCTGAGTTTACTACTCATTCCATTGGTCTATATGCCTGTTTTTATACCAGTACCACGTTGTTTGATAACTATAGCCTTGTAGTACAGCTTGAAGTCAGGTAATGTGATGCCTCCAGATTTGTTCTTTTTGCTTAGTCTTGCTTTGGCTATGTGGCCTCTTCTTTGGATCCATATGACTGTGGGGATTCTTTTCTCTAGTTCTGTGAAGAATGATGATGGAATTTTGGTGGGAACTACATTAAATCTGCAGATTTCTTTTGGCAGTATGGTCATTTTCACAATATTGTTTCTACTCTCCCATGAGCATGTGATGTGTTTCCATTTGTTTGTATCATCAGTGATTTATTTCAGCAGTGTTTTGTATTTTTCCTTGTAGAGGTCTTTCACCTCCTTGGCTAGGTATATTCCTAAATATTTTATTTTATTGTTGCAGCTGTTGTAAAAAGGATTGAGTTCATTATTTGATTCTCAGCTTGGTCTTTCCTGGTGTATAGCAATGCTACTGATTTGTGTACATTGATTTTATATCCTGGAACTTTACCAAGTTCATTTATCAGATCTATGGGCTTTTTAGACGAATCTTTAGAGTTTTCCAGGTATACAATCATATAACCAGTGAACAGCAACCGTTTGACTTCCTTTTTACCAATTTGGATGTGCTTTGTTTCTCTTGTCTGATTGCTTTGACTAGACTTCCAGTACTATGTTGAATGGGAGTGGTGTGAGTGGACATCCTTGTCTTATTCCAGTTCTCAGGGGAGATGCTTTCAACTTTTCCCCATTCAGTATGATGTTGGCTGTGGGTTTGTGATAGATGATTCTTATTACCTTGTCCCTTCTATGCTGATTTTTCTGAGGGCTTTAATCACATTATCACTATTTCTGCTTTAAAGT